ACCCTGCTAGATACCTGCCTTTTTTCTTTTTTTTTAAATTTTATTTTAAAAAGAGAAGTTTAATACTTGATAAACCTCCATTCCACTTCTTTATACTGGTTTTGTTTCAGTTTTGTCATTTTCTGTATAGATCCCAAAAGACCAAACAAGTGCTACAGACTTGTTGGAACAAAGTTGTCAGTTTCTGTTACTGATTTTGTATTTTGCTCCTTTGAGCAAGTGTTCTCCCCCAAGCTTTTTCATCCCCTCTAATGTTAAAGGGCAAAATTCTCATGACTGATGTTTAATCCCAGCAAGACAAAAGCTTTAGGTTTAAAATGTGTACTTCCAAATTGGAGATGGCTAGCATACAAGAACATGAAGTTGAGTCTGTCTGTTTACTGGCTTACTCATCTTTTTGAATGATAATTTAGACTTCCAACTGTTTTGAGTTGAGATTCAGCCCTTTAATTACATATGTTTATGTATAGTAGCAAACTTGAAGACATTATGTTAGAGTGTTCTCTACTCTTGGTAATGACCCAACTATCACTCGAGTGTTCAGAGCCAGCTCTCAGTAGCCAGTTTCACTCATTCTTCTGTTCTTTTGTAGTTTCCAAACTATTCTCTCTGTCTTAAACTATGTTTTTTTCCAGTAATTAATAGAAAAATATTTTGATAATTAGCAGTAACTGTGTATTACAGCACTTATTCATCTTAATAGTTCTTTTTTTTTCTTCCCCCCCCCCCCCCCCCATCTGTAGGTGAAAGACATTCACAAACAAGTTTTTATTCATGTTGCAATCCTGACAGGAATCTTGTATACCATTTGTATACAGCAGCACATGAAGCATGTGGGTGTGCTAAATATCAGCAGACTTCAGTCACTTTCATCTAGCTGAGAAAGACAGGTAGCCCTCCACTTCTTTCTGAAACTCTTTTGCTTCAGACTCTAAGGATACAAACATAGTTAATACATATTTAATTTCAGCCTTCCACAAAGAAATTTAACCTTTAGCTGCTTTTAACAGACTATTAAAAAAGCTTATTGAGCTTTGTTAGAAATTTTTTTTTTTTAATAACTATTCTTCAGTGATAGTGGAATGCCTTTTTATATATATATATATATATATATGTATATTCTCAGTGCCATTTTCAATTGTTAAGGTATTTTTTATTACCTTTAATTGATTTAGTTAATAATCTGTAATGAAAACTCAGAGAGTAAATACTCTGGTAGTTACAGAGCTTAGTATATGCATCCATGTTTTGTTCTTGTTAATAATGTGCATCTTCACTTTGAGGACTGCCTGAAAAAAATAATATAGGTAGTACCAGTAATATAGCTACATATATAGTAGATACAAATTTACATAATCTACATGCTAATACATACATTAATTACTATACTATATATACTATACTAAATGTATAGATAAAGACCATATTATAGATAGCATTTGGACCCAGGCAGGCTTAATTCTGTTAGTTCCAATTTTGTGTGCTTGAGTTGGCAAACTTACATTAATGCAATTTTAATGTATGTATTTTCGTATGTATTTGCAGTCAAAAAATGGTGAAATTTAAAATCTTTGGTTCCATTACGGGCACTGGAAAGGATGTACTTTTCAACTGGTATAGCCTTTTTTGCAGGTTTGACTGTATCTAACGTAGTCACCTCGATTTTCTGTCCCTGACAGCTTCTTTTACCTTCTTTCTCCTAAACTAGCTACTCCAGCTTAGCTATATTCTAGCTAACCCCAATAACTTTTTTCTTGCACAGGTTCCAGTCTTTTTCCTGCCCCATTTCTACTCTTCTTCCTTAGTACATTCTCTAGTCTTTTGTTCCCAACTTCTCTTCTGTAAATAACTTACTGTAGATCATTTTTCTGTGTTGGATTTTGCCTCAACAAGGCAGCTTCTTTTTACTATTGCCTGTAGAATAGGATGAGGCATTATAAATATAGGAGAAAGAGCTTTCCATTTAGCAGGTGTAAAGGCAGGAGATATCTGTAACCTCTGGATTATACTTCAGTGCATAGGTTTTCAATGATTTTATGCTTTAGCAATTGTTGTTATAATTTTTTACCCTCCTTCCACTCCACTCTTATCCCTCCCACATGTAGTGTGTCCAGATGCCTTACATTTTCACAGGAATACTAAAAGGATATCAAAGGTCTTGGTTTGCCAAGTTTTAAGTCTTGTCTCCAAAGAGTAGTATTTTCCAGCAGTGTGCAGCTTTAGGCAGACACCCAGCAAAGACAATTTCAGCCTACATGATTGAAGTGTGATAGGATTAAAGCTGAGAGGGTGGTTTTGTCAGGAGTAAGATGAGATAATCTTAGAGTAGACAATGCTTCTAGTCTCTTCTGTTGTGAAGGTAGCTCAACACATTCCGTAGAGCTACAGTTAAGAAAACAAATAGCCTGTTAACCCTAGCCTCACCATCATCACGTTCATAACTTGGACTTCAATCATATCCCTGAAGATGGGGTTTCTTTGATCTCATGAGTAATATTTGCACTCAGCTGCTAGCCTGGTTATGTATCCTAAACAGCTCTGCTTCATCATGCCACAAGTTCCTGTCATCTGCTTCTATCCTCCTTGTTTCTCTTCCAGCTTCTGTGTTAAATTCCTTCTTCCTGTGTCCATCCTGCTGTAGCTCTTTCTTCTAAATTTTGAGGATGCCTCTCATCCCACCCAAGACCTACCTGAGTTTATAAAAGCAGTGTGGTTGGATTGCTGTTTCTCTTTTGAGTCTCCACAGTGTACGCAGGTTTGTTAAATGCAATGCCACCCCCCTGAGCGGTGAGCAGTCTGACTTACATAAGTATATGGTGAACGGTTTTTGCATCAAAAAATATACACCTTTGCAGTGCAACATTTCCTTTGTTTCTCTCTCACGTCTGTAAAGCTTCTGAGGTGTCCTGCTAAGCTGCAGAAAAACTATTGTATTGACAGACATATCCACTTCCAGTCTTCTTTGCTTTTTCAAATTTCAAATTTAAAAATTGCAGTATGCATGGAAGTTCCTAAATCAAGGTGTGCTCACAAAGACTACCCTAACATCAGTTCTTTCATGCCTGTATTAAAGATGGTCCAGTACAAGTAAGTCTGATGATACTTAGTGTGGCTTTATATCGTGGAGGCAGAGGTCATTTCTTACATAATTGCGTCCCAAATTGGTTAGATTTTCCTATATACAATCAGTGCCTTGAACTAAGGCTTTAAGCTTGTTATCAGCTAGTAATATTAAAAGAGAATTGCTTTAATGTGTTTTCAGTATGCAGCTGCATTTCAGAAGGTCAGCTATGAGTATGTGTCTTGTGTACAATTAACAGCAACAATAAAGGCATAAGAAAGCAAAACTGAGGGAGGCAGGTATGTTGGGTGGCTGGAAGTTTGCTGGGTCTTACAAAGCTCCTTGGAGAATATTTAAAACACATTCCTGTAAAATTGTCAGTGATGGCTGAGGTTTCAAGACCCTGAATTTGTGAAGAAAACAATACATCAAACATATAATTCATATCTGTGAGAGAATAGCGTGCCTTGTGAAGTGGTGCACGTCATATCACATGCCTTTTGTAAAGCATTGACATTAACTGGAATAAATAAAATGTAACTCGCTAAGAATAAATGTAAGGTTTCACGCTAAACTATAGTCAGCCACATCAGTAAAAGGGTGTGGGTCAGCTGGTAGGTGGTAGCTCTATCAAAAGGAAGTTACAGCCCATTGTAAATGAACAAGAAGTCTGTTGCCATATTCATTATTGATTGTTTTGTGAACCTGATGAATCATTTTAGATCACACGTTTGGTCTGGATCAGCTTTGAACAAGTGATAGTATTCCAGAACATGAGATGCAGTGTTTGTGTCTATTCCATGGTAGCTGCAGGAAAACAAACTGCACTTTTGACAGAGTAACCTTAATGTCACAAAAATGTTTAAATATACTTGCATGAATAAAGAGTTAAGTAACTCAGTGTTTTGCAGTTGTAATATTTAGTGCACTGTGATACACTGTAAAATCTAGCACACAGTTTAATTGAACCATTGCCTGAATTACCAGTGTTGTGGTCTTGTGAGAGAGGAGTAATAGGCAGTCTGCTCTATGTCTAGATTTGTGTGACAAGGAAGATCTTGGATCTGAAAGCACAGTCTGTGAGGTTAAGTTGGTTGAATTGATTTAGGCCAGGGAAGACTGAAGAGAGATAAAATAGTGTTTGAATATCTAAAAGATAAATTAGTCAATAGGGCAAGAAGCAATATGCTTAAATTATAGGAAAATTAAATACTAGGAAAAAAATCCAACTATAAAAATAATTAGTTTCTTTATAGCTGGATGGAATAGTTTGCTTACAAAGGTTTTGAATTTACTACTTTTTGGGGACTGTAGAACAAGTGTAGGGAAATACTTAGGAGAAATAGCATAGATTCAATACCTGATTCTGCTCTGGGGCACCAACAGAACTGAACGGTTTCCTGGGACAGTCCCCCTGTGTATGGTTATTCTATATTTAATAATCAAGCTAGTTTCAACATCTGAACTTTCTCAAATAGGGTATTTTACAATAAATCTAATCCTAAAGTGACAGTAGCATGGGTAATTGTGGCATGGTTACCATTGAAGGGAAAATGTCATATTCCTCCTGCCAGGTACAGATGGAAAAATATGCCTGTGGCTACTGCTGTTACCTTGGCATACTAGAGCAGTCCGGGCTCTAATACTTTTCTTACCCTTATAACACAGACCTAGTTTGCAAATGAAGATTGCACTGTTCATATGGGCAATGATACACATTTCATCAAGTCCTCTGACTGCTTTCTTCACCTTATGATTATTACCTTCTACCTTTTATTGAAGCCTATGGTTATATTGGCATACTGTATTTCCTTATGTGTAGTGGATACATGCTGGATAGGTATACATAAGCTGTCTGTATTTCATCTAAGTAATTTCATTTGCTCTTCATCCATTAACTGGCAATGTCTAAAAATGCCAATGTCATGTATTTCTCTAGAATGTCAGCTAATGAAAACAGAGCGACCAAAGCCAAACACGTTTATTATCAGATGTCTTCAGTGGACCACTGTCATAGAGAGGACGTTCCATGTAGACACGCCAGAGGAACGGTGAGGGTTTTATTTTTGCTTTGCTTTCCATATTTTTCACACAAAAGCCTCAGCACACTCTCTACTGGGATGGCACAGTGATCAGCACTTGGAACTGTGACATTCTGAGCACATCTGAACAGTTAGTTGAAGAATTTGTAAGTCAGCTTCTGTAATATATTATCTGAGCTCATAGCTAGTGTTCAGTTGCCTGTGAGTAGGTGGGATGAGTGTGTTCAAATAAGCCAAAACTATGTCATGATATGTCTCTGAAGTGTTAAATTTTGAACAGTCGAAGCCTGCATTAAAGGATTTTCCAGGCTTGCTATCTTAAATTTTCCTTTTTCTCATTCTAATATGCTCGGGATTTTTTTTGGCACAGAAAGCAGCATGCTTGATAAAATTTATTTTATCTTTGCTTATTAGTTTTTCTTGTTTCATTAAACATACACAAACTCATAAGAATGAGGTTATTTAATGCCTCAAAAGAATGTAGGAGATACGGGATGGTGTACCTTGCTAAAATGTTTTATACTGTGTCTCTGGTTAGATGCACTGAGTCTTCCCACTGTGGGCATCTGTCCTGTTGAGATTAATATTATGATTTGGTTTTATTCATGTTGTTTGTAACAAAAAAAAAAAAAAAATGATTTTGCTTTTGCTGTTGTTTCTCTGTCATTAGTATATTCACTTAGATTTTTTTTTTATTCTACCTTAGACTTTTTCTGTACCCTGTCTTTCTTCTGTGTATGCAGCATAGCACTTCTGACGGCTTTCAGTAGTAGCACCAGAGTTCTCCTGTATCCCTTGCTGGCTGAGCAGAAACAGCAGGTGCTGCACTTGGTGTAGGGCTGTGGTGTGCTGATGGGATAGCTGGTGTGTCTGTGCTGGTTAGTTGGTGCACAGAATAGCCATGGACTCAGCTGCCCTGGCTAGTGTCTCCACAGAAACCCTCATCTAGGCCTGCCTCTCTGTGCAGCTGTTTTTTATGGTGCTTGTAGGAATTCAGTTATCTTTGAGGACCTTTTTCTTGGGGGAATTTGAAATTAGCCAACAAGTTGAGTTTTAAGTGAAGGCAGAAAAAGAGTTGAACACACAACATGTTTTAATAAATCTTTTTTTTTTTTTGTCTGTGAAAATGTCTCACAGAGAGGGAGAATTTTATAAAAGGTCTGTTAAAACAGCAAGTTGTTATCAGATAGTATTGGATAGGAGGTGACATTCTATGCTCTGAGCTATGTTATACCTGGAACAAGTGTTTTCAGGTTTTCACTGTTAATATATTTACAAAATCAGACACTGGTAATTCTTGAAATTAACCATGCAGCGATCCTTTTTGATGCTGCTGAACTTCACCATCTTTAACATAATGCAGAATTTGGAAAGAAATTGAAGTGATGGATTTATATGAGTCTCTTGCTGTGTAACATGAGAATTGAACATTAAAGCGATGTAGCATGTGAAAAACCTTATAAATCATTTATTGGGATTTGAGTTCTAATAGGGATTTTGGCTTGTTCATGGTAGGGAAGAATGGACAGAAGCAATCCAGGCTGTAGCAGACAGGCTTCAGAGGCAAGAAGAGGAGAGGATGAACTGTAGTCCAACTTCACAGATAGACAATATAGGAGAAGAAGAGATGGATGCTTCAACAACCCATCATAAAAGAAAGGTAATGACATTAAAAAAGAACTGACAAGACTGATACATAAAATAATGTCTGTAGAATGATCTAGTTGGGTAAAACAATATACAGGGACTGGTATTTCTACATACATTTCAATGTATTATAAGCAGAAAAATACGTATGTGTTTATTTTATAGAATCCTAGGATCACAGAATGGTTTGGTTGGATGGGACCTTAAAGATCATCTAGTTCCAATCCACCTGCCACAGGCTCAACCACCAGGTTGCTCAAAGCCCTGTCCAACCTGGCCTTGAACACTTCCAGGGATGGGCATCCGCAGGTTCTCTGGGCAACCTGTGCCAGTGTCTCACCACCCTCATAGTGAAGAATTTCTTCCTAATGTTTAACCTACATCTACTCTGTTTCAGCTTAAAGCCATTCCCCTTTGTCCTGTTACTGCCTACCCTTGTTAAAAAGTTCATTTTTTTTCAGTAAAGGTGAACTGCTCTAGTTTTATTTATTTGTTATGCTTTCTGATACAGCACTTCTGAAAAACAAAGTTCAGCTGTTCAGGCACATGTTAATGTTCTGCTTATTGTTTTAGTATTTCATATTTTTATTTTTGTTTGTTTACTCTTCTAGAAGTGTGGTAATAAAATATTTTCTTTAGACAAGTAGATTTGCACCCTTTCTCATGCAAATGATACCCAGTACAATTTAGATAATTTGCATGAAAAAGGCTAGCAGGATTTGGGGTTTAATGACCTTGTTTTTTGCTAACTGGGAAAATAACTCTGCTTTAGTTTTCAATGAAGTAAGGGAAAACGTTTTATTTTTTTTTAATCCTTCACAGCTTTTGGTGTAAGTAGGAATATGTGTCTTGTTGGCTATAACATACTAGTAATTGCATTTTCAGAGTCATTGTGATAAGCATACAACTAAGAGCATGTTTTAAAGCTTCAGTGCCACAGAGAAATTTGCTTATTATTATTTTGTGTTTCCATTTTGTCCTGTGATTCTGTAGGTATGAACTACTCTTGAAGAATGGATCATTGAAATGGATGTCTCTCATTTACTATACAGGGTTGACCTGACTCAAGAAATGCATTGAAATTGCATGAGAAATAATAATCTCTTTCTATAGGACTGGCTTTATTCTTTTTAGGTAGAAGTGTGAAACCTGTAGAAAACTAAGAGGAAGTCTGCTGACAGAGCAAAATAGTCTTATAGCTAATGCAACTGAATGCTTTGAATGATGAACAAGGAAAAGAAATAGTAAATGTGTTCCTTTACTCATAAAGCATGTTTTGTTTGTTGCAGTGTATGAAGCAAGAATCATAGAAACATCAGTGGCTGAAAACTATACTCTTATGGATATAACAAATATAATAAAGGTGTTAGTTTAGTTCTGTCACGTCCTAACTTCTGAGAAGTTTGCAGAGTAAACAATTCTTTCATGTTGTTTCATTGTATGCAATTTTCTAACCTTTTTCTGCTGTAGAAAAAGGTGAAAGCTAATTATATACAGCTGTAACAATACTCCTATCATACATTGTCAGGCTGACATTGAACTTTTAGCCTTGCGACATAGATATTTAATGTTTATGCTGCAGGGTACAATATGATAAGTGACAGCAGGGCAGAGGCAGCATTCAAGATGTGTCAAGTCTTCTGAGAAGCAGTGTGATTATGTGGAAGGGATTTGAGTTTGCTCTATTAAATATCAGAGCATGGTTCCAAGCCTGTACTCCTCTTAGTGGAGTACAAAACCACTGCATAACAGCAAGCATTTTCAAGGTGTCAAAATTAATGCTTTCTAATATAAGAAGTTTATCTGATGTGTATGTCTTCCTTATTCACAGTGCAGTGCATTTTCCCATAAAACAAAAGGGTGTGTGGGAACAAGAAAAGGAGGAGGACGATCAATTTAGTTTCTGTCTTGGCGCTGATGCTTTAAGAAATGCTGAAATAAGCCACTGGGACAGTGCGTGTGCAGTATTGCAGAGTATTTAATGGCTTTGGCAACAAGCCAAGAGCAAACTCTATGAGAGAAAGGTGAAATGAAAAATGGTGATATTCAACACCTTATAATAGAGCAGAATGGAGTTTCTTTAGTCAGTGAAGAGCGTGCTGGTGTCCACAAGGATTGTCTTTCTTCCAAGACTCAAAATCCCAGATTTCTGACTATTGGAAGACTTTAGCGAAAGGTTCTCAAAAGTTCTTGGAATCACAAATAATATAGTGATGCGGAGTTGTCACTCCTTCTATGTTAATTGAAATTGGGAAAAAATGTATTTTTTTTTTAGAACTGTTTCTGTTTTGTCAAAATGTTTCTGAAAAGCTTCTGTTTAAGCTTTTGTAGCTGTTAATGTAATCGAACCATTCCTGTTATAATGACTTAATGCATTTTACAGCTTGGGGGGGTGTGGGGTGTGTATTGAATTTCTTTTCATTTCAGGGATTTTTTGTGCAATGTGTCCTACAAGCTGGTTTTGTCACCTGATTTTTACATCTGAGCCCAGTGAATTTTGCTTGTGCGTGCACCAGATGGTATACATATGAGTAGAAGAGCATAATCAGATTAAGAAATAAGAAACAAGACAGAGAGGAGTGGGCCTGTTCTTCTCTGAAAAGGTAGCAAAAGGTTTACAAAGAACATGGTCTTTAGGAGGTGGAATTTGATTTGAACAGACCTGACAGCAATGTCCCTGACCAGATTAGCTGAAGAACCAAAAGCCTGGTTTTTTCCTTTTCTTTTCTTTTTTTTCCCCCCCTCATTTTTTCAGTGGTGGCAGTGTACCACTTAAGTTTTACAGTAGTAGCATCTCTAAAATTCAGAGCACTAGAAATTCATAGCAAACTGGTTTAGTTTCTTGCTGTACTATTCCTTGTAAGTAGAGTTTCTCCCTCATGAAATCAGATGAAAACTCCAAGTGGTATCATCCTTATGCAAATGAGGAATTTTTTAAAAATAGTTCCTTGGCAGGAATTTTCAACACCAGTAGTAGGGTGTATTCTTTCGAATATGTCATCCATAGGGAAGTAAATAAGCTTTAGAGAAGGCTGAACACCATGCGGTTCTTTGGTTGGTGCAGTTTCCTGTAGCTTTATTGCTTTTCCTTTGTTTTCAAATTCATTTTGCAGGGTGCAGGATAAGTAAATAATAGATTTTTCAGAAGAAACAAGAAAGTGATGTAATGAGGAAAAAGATTAAATTCTCAGAGTTTGGTAAAGATGAAAAAGGTGGGAAAAATCATCAAGGAGAAAGAATCTAGTCTTATGGGAGCCTCCAAAGTTGTTTACCAACATCCCTCAGGTTTAGGAAGTATTTCCATTTCTCCATTGGTTTTCAATACACCCTTAGCTATGGCATCTGTGTTTTTATCTCCCAAGGTCCTGTGTTCTTTGGCAGATGTTTGAGTTACCCTGCACTGTGTATCATCTCTAAGCATTCTGCTGAGCTTCTTTATTCTTAGAACTAGGACTGCCGCCATAACCTGCTGTTAAGCCACTGATCAAAATCTCGCAAGCCTATTACCTTCTTCTTGTAAATACACATATATTTTTAACTTGTTTTTACAGAGCTTACAGCTAGATTTATGACTGCTTTGATTAACATTATGTAAGCAAATTTTAGGCAAATGAGTCTTTCAATTTGACTGGCTTGCTGCCCTTAGCATCAAACCCATGTTTGTGATCAGCTGAGCCAAGATCCGCCTTCTGTGTGTGGGCAAAGGGCTGCTTTTGAGATGGTTATATTCAGATTCTGGTCCCTCTCTAAGTCCAGCCTCTCAAAGATCAGAAGTGTGGGAAGAAGGCCTTTGAGACTGCTTATGATACCATGAATATTTGCCTATTCTAAGTAATACATTGTTACGGTCAGTAACTCAGTATTATCAATAAAACTGGTGGTCGTTCTTCATCAAGGAACGTGTTAACTTATGACTGAAGATATGGAGGGCTGTGCTCTGAGTTACTCATCCACTGTCTAAATTATGTTTTGAATGCATTGTGGATTTTTCATGTGGTTTTGTCAGTTTTCACTCCTTCAGCACAAAGGCAGTTGTGTTTGCTTTATGGTTATTATAGAACTATTGAAGTAGATAACCTAACTTTCCAAAGTACTGACTGTGATATTTGTGAAGTCTTACCTTTAGCTGATTAAGTACTACCAGTCACAGAGAGTTTGGATCACAACTTTATATACTGCACCATGAGTCACTGGTTTTGACACATTATGCTAGTTTTTGGAAAAGGTGACCGTTGAAGGATTTGTGGTCGTAATTTTTTTATTTTACACTGACTTCTGTAAAGTGAGTTTGCTTTAAGTAGAAAGTATACTAAGCCTTTGACATATCTGTTACTCATATTTCTTGCTGGAATAAACACGGTTTTGCTCTTCCTGATGTAGGGTGGTTTTGGCAGCAAAATAAGGTCTGTCACTGCAGAATGTTTAAGTGTGAACAAAGAATGGAGTTCACCAAGGTCTCTTAGAAGCTACATATCAACCATTACATTGGAAAAAGATTTAATTCGTGCTGATGTAGCTAGAAAATTGATATATGGAAAGCATCTTCTTTTAATTAAAGCTTTGAAATACCCAGCTAGCCAGATGTTACCTTAAGTAGTCTGTTGGAGATTTTTTGCAGCTTTGAGGTTGTAGGTTGAATGTGTAAAAGCTAAGGAATTACAGCATTCATGTGTTTAGTGGAACTTCAGTTTCACCCCTTATGTGAGCAGATTTCAAACTGACTGTGAGTGAGCCATTGCATGCATTATTTTCACAGCATTGCATTTGTCGATAGCAACTTCAGATCCACAGTAATAGTATTATGGACTCAATTTTAAAGGAATAAATAATTTCAGAAGGAAATTTTTGCCTTAATTTTTTCTCACAAGAGAATATATTTTTCTACCATTGCTTGTGATTGCACAGTGGAGATATGCCCAATAGCTCTACACTTAGAATGTGTGTGAGACATGTAGGCACTGTAGAAGTGTTTCTGCTGGAAATAAGGAAATTATTAATTACGTTGTGAAAGGCACAAGTAGAAGTTTATCTGGAATGCCAGTATTCAAGAGAACTGACTGAGGCAGCAACTAGTGGTAGAGAGGGACTCTAGGAAGATGGAAGATAAGGCATGATCTTTTCCTCACACATAAAAGGATTAAGTATATGCAATTTAGCAAAACTGAGACTCTGAGCATAATTATTCTTCATAAATGTTTCATGGTATATTATTCACAAAAGAAGGAAGATTATTGACAGTGCAGGACAGTACTATAACAAGAATAGGTGAGCGTGTTGTTTTTCAGAGCTTTTAACTGATTTCCTCAAGGTTCCTGGGTGCCTGTGTGATGTGGTGCTGCAGTGAAGCCGGTAACACAGTGCGCTGAAAGATGGGCTTTGGAAGCACATGGTGGAGACCAGTGTTTGCCCCTGAGTTAGCCAAAATAACCCAGCTGTCATTCAAAAGTGACCCTCTTTAGTCACTGTATCTCAGTAATGTGCTGTTTTTTCCAGTATCCTCATCTTTGCAGCTAATGCATAGACTATGGGATTGGTGCTTCTGAACTGGCTGTGAAATGAACTTGCAGAATTAAGATGATTATTGACTCAGGCTATGTGCTTATGAAAGTGACTAAACTGCTTTGGGATCTGAGGTCATCTGGTCATATGCTTTCAATGTGTGCCACTCCAGTTGAGTTGATAAACCTACTAGACTCAAATTGTATAATGGAACCAGCTCTCGGATGTGCTGTGTTTAACCTGCAGAACTAGGGCAGTACTAGATGCTTGAATGGTCACTATAATGGAGTCATATGAGAGAGGATAACTTGATACCTTTTCCTTTCAGAGCCAGGTTGATTAATGTAAAAAACGTATAATTGTAGTCTATACTCAATTTTTTAAAAGTCCACTTCTAATACAAAGACTTCAGTAGACTCTTACTGGTATAATACTGCAGTAAGGATCATGTATGTTTTAGAAAAACAGTCAGTACAGTGGTTGGTGTTATGCAAAACCTGCTGATACGTTCTTACGTCCCTGGTAGTACAAGAGTTGATAGGCTTTCTTAGATGTGGAGTATTCATGAAATGCTTTGTTCTATGTGTGCTTTGTAAAAATAAGATCTGCTTGAGGGTAGGAAGTGTCTACAGAGGGATCTGGACAGGCTGGATCAATGGGCTGAGGCTAATTGTGTGAAGTTCAACAAGGCAAAGTGGCGATCCTGCATTTGGGTCACAACAATGCCAGAGGACCTGGGAGTGTTGATCAACAGCCAGCTGAACATGAGCCAGCTTGTGCCCAGGCAGCCAAGAATGCCAGTGAAAGGCATTGAGTTGCTGGAGCATGTCTAAAGAAGGGCAACAAAGCTGATGAAGGGTCTAGAGCACAAGTCTTATGAAAAATGGCTGAGGTTTAGTCTGGAGAAGAGAAGGCTCAGGGGGGGACCTTAACACTCTACAACTACCTGAAAGGAGGTTGTAGCGAGGTGAGTTTCGGTCACTTCTTCCAGATAATAAGCAATCAAGCACAAGAGGAAAAGGACTCAAGTTGCACTGGGAAAGGTTTAGATTGGATATTAGGAAGAAATCCTTCCCTGAAAGGGTTGTCAAGGGAAGTGGTTTGAGTCACCATCTCTGGAGGTATTTGAAAAAAGAAAGACCCAGACATGTAGATGTGACACTTAGGGACATAGTTTAGTGGTGAACTTGACAGTGCTAGGTTACTGGTTGGACTTGATGATCTTAAAGGTCTTTTCCAGTATAAACTATTCTATGATTTTATGATTATGAACTTGATCATAGAAATGTACCTATTTTTTGTAAACTGTTACTATTTTGGTAACACCATTTGATTATATGGGGACACACTTGTACATGTTGGAAGTGAATAACGTAAGTCTTGCTAATTCTTGTTCTTTGCCTCTTACAGACAATGAATGATTTTGACTATTTAAAACTACTGGGGAAAGGCACGTTTGGCAAAGTTATCCTTGTCCGAGAGAAGGCTAGTGGGAAATACTATGCTATGAAGATTTTGAAAAAAGAAGTCATTATTGCAAAGGTAAGGAAGATCATAGTTTTAATGTTGTGTAATATTTTCAAATACTATGATCAATATCTAATATATAAGTTATATTTTTTTTTGATGGTAATTGAAATTGATAGAAATATTTCTGCATCTTCAGAAAACAAGAATACAAAAACTAGAATGTGTACCCATTTTGCATGCCTTTTTCCAGCATCTTGCAATCTAGAATATGCCATCATTTTGAGAGAGTTCGCTGGGTAGAAAGTGCAATTCAAGTTTAAAACCAGAAAAAAATGCATTCTAGGGTATATTACATACTTAAGAAAAAAGTTCTAAGTGAACTGTGTTGGTTTTTTTTTGATAAATAAAACTAATTTAATGGACCTGTGCTCTGTTCTGCTAAGTTAGCTAAGATTGCTGTGCATGGGACTAAAAATTCAATTATTTTCAGTTTTTGAGGAGCAAGAGAAGTCTGAAACTGATGTCTGTTGAAGTAATTTAAACTGCATTGTCCACTCAATTAAGCTTAATTAGTGCAGTGTTACTAGCTCTTTTGCTTGGTTGTAATGTTAAGAAGTTTAAACTTGAAGATCATCTAGTCTAAGCTTTGTTTGTAGCAATTCTAAAGTTTTGAATCCCACTTCCATAGAACAAGTTGAGAGCAAGAAACCTACATGCTCTTATCACCAGGAGACACAATTAAAACCAATCCCAGGGGCATTTTTCTCCCTCTTTGTTGACCAGTGAGAAGATTTAAGTGTGTAAGGAATGACACCTTTCATCCTGTGATAAAAATAGGAGCACCTCAGTCTTTTAAATTTGACTTCCTCAAAACTGGAATTTTGTTTTGGAGGGAGTCCCTCTAGGTTTATCATAGTAGGGCTGTATATTGATAAGAAACTGATGAAAAAAATAAAAAATAGACTATGCTTAGATCTTCACCAGTGAAGGGATCGTGTTTTTTTATCTACAGTCACCAAATACCAGTTTTCCCACTCCTTCCCATACTGAAAACATAAGCAGATTTGGGCATGAATTTAGCTGTCTAAACTAGTGAGTGTGTAAGTATGCCATGGGGATTTATCAATAACATTTAACTCTGGAGATCAGTGCTAAGGGTACGGGCACTAGGTAGAGATCTGCAGTCCCAACCCAGCCTATAATGTGCACTATAGAAGGTCATACCCTAACAGTTAACATAATATAAAGCAGAAAGTGATGCACTGACAGCTGTATCTAGAAGGTTATATAGCATCTGCTCAGTTCAGACTAAATCTGTTGATCCTAAATTTTCATGGCAGATTAATATTACAGTTACCAGGAAATTGCTACCAGTATCACAAACTTCTGAAGCAATTCTAGAAAAACTGGCCATTGCCAGCTTTTTATTCCCTGTATCTGGTGAACCGCTGAGCTTGAAAAATAAGCAAGCCTAAAGTTAGCTTTATTTGTTTATCTCCTTGAAGAGTTTTTTTGTTTTAACCCCAGTATGAGGTTGTAGTGTATAGGCTCAGCGTTGCACTGCTATTCAGCTAAATGGCATCATAATTTCTTACCAGTAACTCTGTTGTTGTTGTTTAACTTCCTATTTTGACAATTTTTAAAGTCTAATTTAAAGCTCCTGACATCTGTGTTTACTTTCTAGTTTAGTAATACCTTATCTGCTGAGCACTGTCTGCTAAGCATGTAGTACAATGATGTTACATTGGTATTATTTGTAGCGATAATAAAGTATACTCTGACTAAATATATTTACTTCTGCAGGGCTATTGTTGAAGTTTGAGTCGCACTAAGTTAGTCTTCAGCTCTGCATAATAGTGGTAGCTTAGCACTGCAGAAAATGTAGTGCAGGGTGAGCCCTGTTCCTGCCATCCTCTCCCCCTTCCCCCTGCATTGCCCCGTTCTCTGCAAACCTGGTGGCATGAGGGGCCATAGCCCTGCCACTGTGAGGCTCCCTGTCAGCCCTCCAGGCTGTTTCTCACCCCCCATGTGTCCCCCTCCTGGCATCCCCCCTGGCAGAGGGGTTAGTGAGAGGGCCTCTTTCTCAAAATCTGTCCGGAAAGGGGGTGAGGTTGTACGGACATCTTCCCACCTCCCATGGGCAAGGTGTTTGTCCTTGAGGAAGGGCGTCACTCTCGGTCAGGGTAGCACTGCTCACTTGACTCTTAAGGACAGCCAAAGTGGATGAGGGATGGAGGGAAGGAGTGAGTTTTGGATGGTTACATATAAAAGAAAGTTAAAGAAAAATAAAACAAATCCCTAAACGAGTGAATGTTTAAAAACAGCAAAACTGTCTTTACTTAACATTAGACTAGATTAGACTAGGTTTCATAGATGCCTCTAAGTTATTACGTGTACGTTTCTTGTAAATTGCTTCAATCTCTCTGTAGATATGTTGTTCAGATGATTCATACCAGAAATGTGAAGTTGTGATGTCTGTATTTTCAAACTATCAAATCCAATATTGTAATTTCTTACTTGCCACACTGGATGTAAAATTAAAGATTTCATTTATAGCACGAAAATAAGAAAAAACTAAAATTAAACCCATTAATTGTATTTTGCCAAACTTAAATTTACTTTAAAATCTTTTTTTTTTCAGAAAACATGAATTATTTTTCATGTTTCTCTCAGGTTTGATCATTTTCCAAAACTATAGTGCAGCTTATTCTTTTTGAAAGTGTTGACCTTTTCCCCCTAATTAATTCAATGACAATTTTATATGTTAATTCAGACTTACTTCTTCTACTCTTTATTTCTCAGGATGAAGTAGCTCATACGCTTACAGAAAGCAGAGTGTTGAAAAATACAAGACACCCTTTTTTAACAGTAAGTATTAAGAATTAGTTTTAAGTACATTAGCAGGTGGTTTTCAACATGATGGGTATTTCATTATGAACAGTATTTACAAATTTGGAAGTCTTTCTTGTGGTTATTTGTAAACAAGTAGTGGCTATCTAGTGCTTCTCATATCCTTTATCAGAATATGTATTTAAGAGTTCAGAAAGTCAGTTTCTAAACGTTTTGTGAAGCTCAACTGCACTCCAGTTTAACTGTAGAATGTAACTGTTGTTCATATACAAAAATCACAAGTTGAATATTTTCTTAATAAAAGTTATTGATATCGCATAATATCAAGTAATTTTTATCAAGAAAACTTAATCGAGTTCAATAAAAAGATAAAAATTCTATTTGTTCAACGTAAGTAGCCCATGGAGCAACAAAGCTCAAACCCCACTCCCTCAGTGTCATTGTCTTCATATGGTTTATATTTAATAGAAGGTATTGAAGCTGTTAAAAATAAGATGAAAATTTTGAGATTCATGACAAATCATGATTAATAGCTTTAATTTTACAACTGACTTATGTAGAAGTAATTCTGATTCCTCTGTTTTGAGAATGTATTAGAAAGTCTTTTCATTGATTTCAAAAGATGATTAACCTGTATTTTAAGGCTGGGAAAAATTATTTTCTTTTTTGTACTAAAATACCAGAGTATAACATGGAAGCTTTCCTATTTAGAAAATCATGAACCAAACCCTTTAGAAAGCAGAGGATTGCATTCACATTGCTTGGCCAAAATATTCTTGGAAATTCAGTCAAAAGAAATGAGATCCCCTAAAGTTATTTAATTTAGAGTGTGAAGGTAAGCAGGAGTAGGCGTTAATTGCAGTCAAATTGTGCAAATTACTGCAGTTGCATCTTTAAATGTCTCTGATATTCTTAAGCAAATATTTTAAGGACACATGCAGTATTTTAAGTCAAACGAGTCTCCTAATGATTTTGTTATGTGTAGTTCTACTGTGTTTTGTTTCTTTTGAACTGTATCTGTAGATTTGCTTTGGTATAATTTTTCCAAGCAAAATCAAATCAACATTGAAAAGTCAAAAATTTTAATTAAGATAATAACATTGGTTACAATTTTTAAATGATATGTAAATAAATATATTCATCAGTGTTTTTAACATGGTATGGTATGTGAAACTAGAGACTCCTTTTGGATATGAAAGCAGGCTGGAGATTTAGATCAGTTTTAAGGTTTGATATGGGAGAAATGAAAAAGAATATGGTAATCTCTCTCTTCATGGGCATCATTGAAGTGGACATCATAAAATGAGTGAGAATAGCTGGTTCCATATATGGCAGTAAGAAACCTGTATAGAATTGTGAATTTTAGCAACTATGTAGAATTCTGTTATAACAAGCATGATGTTTTCATATCAGTGGGCATGTGGCAGAGCTGAAGGAAGACATGAAGGTTTTTGTTAATTCATCACAAGCTCCAGATAGGAATTTACACTTTTAATTACTCTGAAAGTTCTCACCAAATCAGAATTGTTTGCTTAAGAGGATTAAATTAAATTTTGTTACAGTTTAAGTGCAAGAAATTGGGTTAATACAAGATGATAATTGTTTGGTTTTGCTGTTTTCTTTGCAAGTCCTTGAAATATTCCTTCCAGACAAAGGATCGTTTGTGTTTTGTGATGGAGTATGTTAATGGAGGAGAAGTAAGTAGAAAAAAGATGTTCTGCACTTTTAATAGTAATACTGTCACTGGGTTACGCTTTAAAAGATAGTATTTTTCTTGCCTCTTTTGCTTTCTGGTATCTTTGAAAGTTGCCTTTTTTCTCTGTATTTTTTTAAAACTGTTATTTAAAAGAAATGTGGATGTGTTTTACAGCTGTGCTGTCAAAAAAAAAATAGTTTTTTTTTTGTCAAAAGTAGTTCTTATTCTGGAAAAATTAGATTTTTGAAAGATAATTTCATGGTAGAGAGATAATCACAAACATCTTACTGTTTTTTCTTCAAGCATATTATAGCATGTTCTGGCATGAAATGGTCATAATGTAGTGCAAACAATCAAAAATAAGGTTACTAGTCTTATTTTTGTCCTAATGTGAAATATGTGCTTTCTTCTTTGCTGTAGCTGTTGCAAATATGTATGAGAAAAGTGTTCATATTTTTCATTACTTCTTCCTCTTCACTTGCTGTGTACTTTGGAAATTTGAAGTTAAGTGTTAAACTTATTAGTATAGTTAGCCTTTAAGCCATTGCTGTCTTCCAGCTATTTCCTGAAGAATGTAATATCAAAAACCATATCCGTCAAGTGGATTTAAAGAGAATTGCAATCTAAGAAGAGGGCTTTCATCTCCCTTTTAAGTGCTGTTTGCTATTCAGACTGTGTCAGATTACAACATTAACTAGGGGGTTTTCCTTATTTTGTCTACTATATGCTGCATGATAACACTAAAGTACTAAGTATTTCCACTAGCTTTTTTTATTAGAAAACTATTCCTTCATTCAGGAATTGCTGCAGCATGGTACCATGTTTTTCATTATCCTTTTCCTGTGTTCTCCTACGATGAAACTGTCTTCAGCTATAACCCTAATGCCTGAGCACCCCCAGAGTGCCTGTCTTGCATTTGTTGCTTTGGTGATTTCAGTGCTCAATCTGAAGCCCGTTTACATCCTAACTTGTTCATGGCCTTCTACCAGCCATGACTAAAGGTGGTGCTATAGGGTTCTCGAATGGGAGGATGACTTTTTGACTCAATATGTATAAACCCATTTCTGGACATCACAGGCGTTTAACCATTTTGGCTAGTTGGACACAAAAATCTTCCTCAGCAGTAATGGGATAACAGCCTTCTCTTGGACACTCAGCTGCCTTATTTAACATCGAACTTGTGTCAGCAATAGTAAGTCAGTGCTATTTACAATGCATTTTAAACGTGGCGCCTTAATAAGTTAGCTAATTCTTCTTAAGTTTTGTCTGTGTAAGATCTTACTGTATTTCTGTAATCTCAGGGGATATACTTTGAAAGTGTTTTGAAAATCAGCCTATCGTTCAGACACTTACCTTTTTGTAAGATACTTTTCTGCCGTATCTGAATGCAGAGCAGAGCCCAGACAGAATGTTTTCAGCTCCTTTCTTATGATTGAATACTCTGACACTATGTTTTGATCAGGTGTGTATCTTGCATTCCTCTGCATTGGGCAGGGCACCTTTGTGGTAAATGCTGTCATGGTAAATCTTGTGTCATGGGTCTCTTGGTGGCAGCCTGCTTTTGCTTACTGGGATTTAAATAATTGCAATGTACTTTGGCAAGGGTGTGTCACTTTTTTTCAGGTGTGATGCTCTTGTTTGTTAGAGTTACTCACCTTCTTTGCTAGTGGTTCCCTAATTCAGTGAATCTAACCGTAAATTTTTGCCACAGTGGAAAATAATGAGCATTCCCTAACTAAGTAGGCAATTTTCTTTGAAGAAACTCTTCTGATTTGCTTATGTGCTTCTTTTTGGCTAAAGATGTGGAATAGTAAGTTCATAGAATCATAGAATAATTAGGGTTGGAAAGGACCTTAAGATCATCTAGTTCCAACCCCCCTGCCATGGACAGGGACACCTTACGCTAAATCATATCACCCAAGGCCTCGTCCAACCTGGTCTTGAACACTGCCAGGGATGGAGCATTCACGACCTCTCCGGGCAACCCATTCCAGTGCCTCACCACCCTAGCAGGAAAGAATTTCCTCCTTATATCCAATCTAAACTTCCCCTGCTTAAGTTTTAACCCATTACTCCTTGTCCTATCACTACAGTCTCTAGTGAAGAGTCCCTCTCCAGCATCCTTATAGGCCCCCTTCAGATACTGGAAGGCTGCTATGAGGTCTCCCCGCAGCCTTCTCTTCTCCAGGCTGAACAGCCCCAACTTCCTCAGCCTGTCTTCATACAGGAGGTGCTCCAGTCCCCTGATCATCCTCGTGGTCCTCCTCTGGACTTGTTCCAACAGTTCCATGTCCTTTTTATGTTGAGGACACAGAACTGCACACAATACTCCAGGTGAGGTCTCACAAGAGCAGAGTAGAGGGGCAGAGTCACCTCCTTCGACCTGCTGGTCACGCTCCTTTTGATGCAGCCCAGCATACGGTTGGCTTTCTGGGCTGCAAGCACACACTGAAGCCGGCTCATGTTCATTTTCTCATTGACCAACACCCCCAAGTCCTTCTCTGCAGGGCTGCTCTGAATCTCTTCTCTCCCCAATCTGTAGCTGTGCCTGGGATTGCTCTGACCCAGGTGTAGGACCTTGCACTTGGCATGGTTAAACTTCATGAGGTTGACATCATCCCACCTCACAAGTGTGTCAAGGTCCCTCTGGATGGCATTCCTTCCCTCCAGCCTATCAACCAAACCACACAGCTTGGTGTCATTGGCAAACTTGCTGAGGGCGCACTCAATCCCACTGTCCATGTCATCAATGAAGATGTTGAACAGCAGCAGTCCAAACACTGATCCCTGAGGGACACCACTCGTTACTGGTCTCCAGCCGGACACTGAGCCATTGACCACAACTCTTTGTGTGCGGCCATCCAGCCAGTTCTTTATCCACCGAGTGGTCCATCCATCAAATTGATGCCTCTCCAGTTTAGAGACAAGGATGTCGTGTGGGACAGTGTCGAACACTTTGCACAAGTCCAGGTAGATGATGTCAACTTTCTACCCCTGTCCATCAGTTCTGTAGCCCCATCATAGAAGGCCACCAAATTGGTCAGGCAGGATTTCCCCTTAGTGAAGCCATGCTGGCTGTCACCAAGCACCTTGTTGTTTTTCATGTGCCTTAGCATGCCTTCCAGGTGAATCTGCTCCAAGGTTTTGCCAGGCATGGAGGTGAGACTGACTGGTCTGTAGTTCCCTGGGTCATCCATTTTCCCCTTCTTGAAAATGGGGGTTATACTTCCCTTTTCCCTGTCATCGGGAACTTCATGATTTCTCAAATATGATGGCCAGTGGCTTTGCAACTTCATTCACCAGCTCCTTCAGGACCTGTGGATGGATTTCATCAGGACCCATGGACTTGTGCACGTTCAGATTTTTAAGATGGTCTTGAACCAGATCCTCTCTTACAGTGGGCACAAGGTCTTCATTCACACAGTCCCTGCATCCATCTGCCTTTCAAGACTTGGGTGGTTTGGTCAGAGCCTTTGCCAGTGAAGACTGAGGCAAAGAAGTCCTTAAGAACCTCAGCCTTCTCCAAATCCTATGTAGCCAGTTCTCCCGAGAGCTTCCTGAGGGGGCCTACATTCTCCCTAGTCTGTTTTTTATTTGCTACGTACCTGTAGAATCCCTTCCTGTTATCTTTAATACCTCTAGCCAAGTTTAATTCTAACTGAGCCTTAGCTTTCCTAACCTCGTCCCTAGCTTCCCAGACAACATCCCTGTACTCTTCCCGTGCTACCTGTCCTTGCTTCCACTTATTATAAGCCTCTCTTTTCATTTGAATTTTCCTCAGGAGCTCCTTATCCACCCAAGGAGATCTCCTTGCCCTCCTGCTGCACTTCCTTCTAGTCGGGATGCAACACTCCTGAGCTTGTAGCAAGTGATCCTTGAATATCAACGAAGAGTCTTGGGCCCCCCTGCCCTCTAGGGCTGTATCCCATGGAACCTTACTAAGCAGGTTCCTGAAAAGTTGGACAGACTGTCCTTTTTAATAGGAAAATCTTTAATCTTACCAAAGTTTTCTGTGAATTTCAGACTTTAGTCACTCTCTGCTAAAAAATACAAAGGACTTCATATTTGTGAAAACAGCCTGGTTATTTACTGGAACAGGCTGCCCAGGGAGGTTGTGGAGTCTCCTTCCCTGGAGACATTCAAAACCCGCCTGGACACATTCCTGTGTAACATTATCTAGGTGTTTCTGCTCTGGCAGGGGGATTGGACTAGATGATCTTTCGAGGTCCCTTCCAATCTCTAGCATACTGTGATACTGTGTGATACTGTGAACTACTGAATAAAAGTTGCACAAACTCTAGCCAGCATTTTAGCCATTTCTGAGCATATCTTCTATATGGTACACAGATTTTTTTCTTTTGCTGCTTCCCTCTACCATTCTCTCTGTTCCAAGAAAGTTTAATTTCCTTGCAATGGTTTCTCACTGTGGAAGGTTTTGAAAATTCATCTTTTAATTATATCCTTCTAGTGGAAAATTGACTGTAGCAGTACCGTGTTTCTCTCTCCAGAGCTGTACTACCTTCAGTGTGTTTCTGTTTAAAATTCCTTTAGATTAAAGATTTTTTTTTAAACAATTGTGCCTGAGTCAGTTGCTTGGGAATTTTCATGTGTTATGTCTTTCAGGAGCCCATTGAACAGTCCTCCAAATGAAAGACTTATTGAGCTTTACATTTGCATTCTTGACTCTCACCCAGGTGAAAGAAAAAAATGCCACAATTTAGGCTTCTGCCCTACTACACTAATAAAAAGTGTGGTTGGTACTAGGAATCTCCAGTTCCTCTTCCTATGATTAGGAAGGAAAACAGTTGATGAAACGGGGTCACTGAATTTCATTGCGGAGGAGAAGAGATTGTGTTAAAATGGTTATAAACAAGAATCATACAGTTAATTTTCTGCTCCTTAAGGGCCCAATCATGAAATCTTTGTTCTGGGCTGAAAACCTTTACTTCTTCTAGTGTTGCTGTTGGACTCTGGATGAAATGCTTAGCAATATCTGTTGATCATAAAGTATGTTACAGTATGGAGCTGAAGGATACTTCTAACAGTGTGGTTACTTATCAATGCCATTGTTACAGTGAAGGAATTACATTAAAGTAGTGTTAAGACATTGAAATTTGATTTTAGGAAAATAATTCTCATCTGGCTTAGTTGAGATGACCACGTTCTATTATCAAGACTTTGAAATGGCATATTTTATGAGTGGTGAAACAATGCATACAGTATTGCGTGGTAAACTGTGTTCTTCACTTTGGTGCAAAATATAGAATATTCATGTACATATTTTTAAATAAGTAAAATTATCAATACTTACAGAAGAACACAGGCCTGCTTTAAAGAAGCCCCATTAATTTTTATATATTTTTTGCTGTCTCTGTCCTATCAACATTTTTTAGGAAAAAAAGAAGAAGTGTAAGGATGTATTGATGATGGCTTTCCCGATTTGCCTCCTCTTCCTTTTGTAACCCCTAGAATTTTGAGTACTATGTGATTGCAGTATGTTGTAGTATATGATAGTGTTCCCCCAACTTCCAGGCCAGAGAGTAGTATAAACTGTGCTATAAAAAATTGCATTCTAAGAATGGATCTTTATTGTTGGAATGCTTTTGGACTCTCTTTTTCCCACTTTTTATTTCCAGCATTTTGCTTTAGAGGTTGAAAAGCTTTAGGAATGTAATCTATTACTTACATTTCTCTGCAGAGTACACTGGTTCAGCTGACTAATAAGTTGATTAACTTCCGTGCTTTGCTCTTTCAGGATAATTCCAAATTCCATACTTTGTAAAAAGCTGAGTTGGTAATTATCTGCATAATAAATGAGACTCTAAAATTTGTTCAGATAGTTTTGCACACAGGAATTTTGAATCTCTGTTCCGCTTGGCATTTTTTATTTTCCGTGGCTCTTAATTCAGTTCTTTAGGCAAGAGAGAACTAAATGGTTGGTTGTAATTGAACAAGTGCTATTACTGTCTAGAAAAAAGACAGAAAATTTGCAACCTACCTAATGAAAAATAGCTGAGTTTTGTTGTAACCTGTATCATTTTTATCTTGCTTGTATCCTGTTTTGTTTTCCTAAACACTTAAGTAAATGAGTGTTTCTTAGCATAAAGTTATGCTAGTCCAAGAAAAGGGTACTATATTTATTTCTTTCAAGGCTGCTACCGAAAATGCTTTGCTAAAGAGTCAAAACAGCAGACAAATATAAAATGTGTTTAACTGCAGAGCTGAGCAAACCCAATATACAATCGCAGGAGCTAGTCATACAACTTCTAACATGCTAAATAGGTCACTAGCATTGTAGAAGTTTAACGTATCAATTGATACAGCGTTGTATTTAACTATTTGGTGTGCTTGGTTCTGCAGTTGGATATACCTTTATGTTCGATCTTTGTTTTTATGTGTTCAAATCTTTCCATTAAGACTTTTTATTAGGAAAAAAAACCCATGGCAACATTGTTGTTCAGTTTTTAAATAAAAGCATACCAGGAAATTTATAGCTCCAGTCCTCACTGTAACTATAGCACCCTCATGTATGCCATCAAAAATGTTATGTGCAAAATGGCTTTCTTTGTGCCAAAGCTATTTCTATTGCAATTCCAGTGACTTTATAGCGTATATTTAATAACTGTAAATCAATAAATAGTGCAAATGTTGGTAGCTTTTTTCATATCCTTCCATCAGATTTATTTTTTTCCTTCTCTGACTTAATAAATCTAATCCTTATTCTGACAATTGTAAATAAAGCCTGGTGGCATAATTATTCCAGAATAGTGAACCAACTAAATAATTAGCTGAAAATAATGCTGTGATCTCACTGAATTAGATTTTTTTATTATAATTTTAAAATTTGCTTTAGTATCTTTATAGTGTATGAATGTATGAATTCACTTTTAACATGCATTTTTACATCTAAATATAAATTTTTTGTTCAAAACTGGTATATATGTATAGTACTGTTACTATAATAAGAAGAAAAATACTTCTGAAGAGTGACTGTTATGTCAAGTAATGTTAAAATAACCTGTCTTGGGAACCCATGGTCTCTTGCAAACAGAGAACTGTTGCTAATTGTTTCTAGCTGGTCATTTTACTTTGAAGTTAGTATTTAGAATGAATGTCAGGAATATTTTGTTAGAAAAATAAAACTTTGTTATGCTGACTTGTCAGCTTGTCAACTCTCAGATTCAAATTTGAACACTTTTTTTTTTTTAATGGAAACTAATACATCTGTTACTGACAAGTATCCTGAGGTTTTAGAATTTTCTGAGACTTTGCTGCTCAGCTACTGGATTTGTCTCTTTCATACAGAAAATTGCAATAGTCCTTTTGCATAGATATAAATATAGGGCTAACTGGAGGTTATATTATAAATTTTTGGAAAGTGCTATTTGTAGACATTAAAAAGTGATCTGAAAGTTGTCCTTTTTTGTGTTACTTTGAGTCTGTCAAAATAAGCAAAACTCTTAAAAATTATTAATATTAGCTCATTTTTTATGAAAGAGACGAGACCACTGATTGGTCACAAATGACCCACATTTTGTATTGTGCTTTACTTGGATGAAGACCTACTTAGTGGTGTTTGTTTCCTACTGAAATCTTGCAGAAATGTGTGGAAAAGACCCACAAAGTTGAGAAAATTATTTATTATTTTCTCAAATTTATATGTGAGGCACTTCATGAAGGCAGAGTTAGTCTGTAGTGGTCTTGTGTTTGCACTGGCAATTAAGAAGTCCGCAGTACAGACAGCAGGTTACTACAGGCAGGGTTGATGTTGCCACCAGGGATGGGTGCTTAAACAGGGAAATGATCAGCAGGAGCTATTGAAATACCTACAAAATAATGATCCTCCTTGTCATGCAGGTATTCCATTTTTATACAGGGCGTCTTGAGAATTCAAAAAGAAATTGAAAAGGGAATTCAGGTACAAAGAACAGAAATGAAATATGCTCTTTGAACCATACTGTAGTTTCTGTTAAGTCTTTGCTTATACGAGTATATGCTGCCAAAAGGCTCACTTTAGTGGGAACTTTAAGTCCAGAAGAAAGGAATACACATTATTTGAAATAAAATACTCAGGAAAGAAGTTGCCTTCTGTTTGTTTATAGGATTGACTTTTTAATTAGACTTTGAGAAATCCACATTCTGAAAAGAGCTGCAGAAATTCTTAACTGTTCTGTGCTGTGTCAGCAGTGTAGGTTTACTACTGGTGTAAAGTAGGATGTGGTCATGACAAATTAAGCACATTATTGTTATTTTTATTGCTGTGGGTTTCCTTGTCTCTGTTTAATTTATAGATGATCACACTTGTGTATTTCTTTTTTGTTGATTGTTAGCTGTTGTGGTAAAATGAAAACCGTTGTAACTTGAAGGGGTAAGGTAGGCAATCCATTTGGTCTTAAGCAGAATACAGAGACCTACTCACTAATCTTTGCTTGAGGACTTTCCCAGGTTTTCTTAACACAGTAAATAAAACTAGCCGTTTTAGAGAGCATTTAAATAGACAAATTCTGCTTCTCTAGGTGTTGTTCCAGGTTCTGAGGGTGACGTTTTATCCAGTAAGATGCTGACAGCCTTACAGAACTTGACCTTACACTTTTTCACTGCAGCTGAATATACTGGCAACATTTAATGACTAATATTTTACACTGAAAGACTTTAGTTGAAAAAGTATCTGCAAAGGTCTGTTACTTATAAAGTACTAAAGAAGAGACAAGCCCCACCCCTCCAACTCCCCCTAATAAATGAATACACTAAATACATAGACTTGTTTTTATAAGCTGTTGTTGTGTTGTTTTTTATAGTGTCTATGAATATTCTTACCAGCACAAATATGCTGGCTTTGTAAAATATCTGTTCTCCTGTTCAGCTGAAGTCCACAGAGGAGCTAGACTTTTGTCAGTTCAAAGGAAAGTTAATAAATTACTGGAAAACTTAAGGCAGAACCCGAATCTGGTTGTTTTAGTGATATTTCTCAGTGGCTTAAAATAAACATCTGAGAAGTGCTGGTGGGAGAAGTACAGAATGATGCTGCTGCTGCCTACTTTTTTTTTTTTCCTCTGGTAACTGAAGGTTAAATGAGTAGCAAGCAGAATGCCTTAAACAAGATTGGTATATTGATTAAAACGCTGATTTAACAGCTCGCTTTCTCCCTTTGGAAACCTGGAAAAGATAAGCCAGCTGCTGTCTAAGAGTGCTGAGTGTCCACTGAGAGTACACTATCTATCATCACAATATGGTGATGAGAGGTGTTTTATGTTTGTGTTAATTTCCCCCACTAAATCAGTAATTATTACAATCCTGTCCCTGCTGTTTACCCTGCAGCTGTTTTTCCATTTGTCGAGAGAGCGGGTGTTCTCAGAGGACCGCACACGCTTCTATGGTGCAGAAATTGTCTCTGCCCTGGACTATCTGCATTCTGGGAAGATTGTGTACCGTGATCTCAAGGTAAAAAAAAAGGAGAAAAAAGTAATCAAATTTTTGTTTTTGCAGAGACTACTGGGACAAACACAAAGTAATTATAAAGTTGCACTATTCAGAGTTAATGGGGAAAAAAATCTGTGTTCAGTTTAAAGTTCTGTTTGTGCTGAAGGAAGTCCTTTGATACAGTAATCTCTAGACGGCTGCATTACTTGCCTTTAACCTGATTAAAAACCGGAAACACCGTATCTTAGTAATAGCACTGAAGAAGGTTTAAACTTCTGATAGTTTTATTTTTATTTTATTTTTATTTTTTACTCCATTACTTATAACTTAACTTGGATTTCAACATAAATCTTAAATATAATTCTCAATGTCCCCAAACAAGAGAAATGGGGAACTGGGGCAATGTGACCACATTCTGTTTATCTCATCGAAGAGTTATGTTTGTGTATGATTTGAAAACATTTTAAACAATTAAGAAAAGTTCAATTGGAAAAGAATTTCAGTCAACTAAAAATTATTTTGTCTTTTGTATCTTGGCAAAGTTTTGTAATACTGGAATATAGTTTGTCTTCGATTTGCCTGTGTATACAGTTGTGTACCCTCTGTTGTTGCCTGAAGCTCTAAGTATTCTGTGGCACAGTATGACCACATTCTATGGAAAATAACCTCTGCTTTCAGCAGGAACATTTTCAGACTTATGTAGGAGGAACTTTTAAATTCCACAATAAGACTGTTTTATTTTTGTGCTGAGCCTTTAATTTCTTGCATGAGAAACTGTGCTTTCACATTGTACATGCATGCCTAGTGGATTTCATTCATGGACTCCTTGTAGAGAAACCAAGGAGAAGGAGGCAGTGGTAGGCAAGTTCTGCTCAGGGAGGCAGACAGAAAACGAAACGCTGGGTTTCCTCTTTGTAGCAGAATCTGTTGTAGTAACATGAAATACTGTGACATCTTGGAAAAATACTGAATTGTCTAGTCAAGGAATGATAATAAGAGGACAGGGCTATAATTGTTCTTTGTTAGTAATTTCACTGCACACCTTATAATTAGGGGGGGGGGAAGCTTTTTCTGTTGAGAAAAGTTTTTCAGAAGTATGTTTTACTTGGTTTTACTTCTATCTGTATTCATAGTACTGCTAATAGAAAGCTTTTGGAAAAACAATGTTAGGCACGCTTTTGAGATGGTCCACAGTAAACACTGCAGCAGTTTTCATTCCTGTTGTTTCGATACTTCATAATTGACTGTATTCTGTTTTCACATTTCAAAGCAAGAATGGTGTATTTCAAAAGCATGCAGAGCATGCAGAGATACGCATACACAATTCAAGGACAGTGTCCTTTGCAAGTATACGAGGAGGAGTTTACCTCAGGGTTTTGTTTTTATCAGTAGCTTGTCTGTTATTGAAAAGGTTGTGCAAGATTAAAGGATTTACGGATATATACTGTTTTGTGACAATATAGTAAGTAAAATGCATCTTGATAAATGAAGGTCATGTTACAGCAAAGGAAACCTATGTATTCTTGCCAAATGACAGCCATGACTGCAACCTTGAATTACTTGACTTTGTCTTGAGAATATGAAAAAAAAAATATTTAGCTTTTATTCTATGGAAGGTGCCTCAAACTTGTAAAACTTCAGAATGAAGGGTCGTACTTTGATTGACCTGGGATTTACTATTGTAAGCTGTATTGAATCATTAAATAAATATTTAAATTGTATAACAGTAACACCATTGAGTGCTATAAAATAAGAGATGCTGTATTTTTTTTTAAACAAATCACAAATTCTATTGCAAGCAATCTTTTTGACAAAACTGATACAATGCATCAGCCTGTCCTGTTAAAAAGTACTAAGGGATCATTTTCTTCCCCAACACGCAGTTAGAAAATCTAATGTTGGATAAAGATGGACACATAAAAATTACAGATTTTGGACTTTGCAAAGAAGGAATCACAGACGCAGCAACTATGAAAACATTCTGTGGTACTCCAGAATACCTGGCACCCGAGGTATGATTTAGAATATATTCTTGTAATACAGTATAAAATGTTTATTTTTTTCAGTCAATTTTAGACCGTGATGTTTGTATACTGAAAACTGTTCATTGTAGTAAAGAATTGACAGCCTGCCTGGTTAATACTATGCAGTTGTTACTCAGAATTGTATGTGCTACTATTCTTTGTGGTGATTGTCTATATATCAGTGCTGCACTTCTTAGTGTTTAAAAAGGCCTCTAACATGCATTTTCCTTTTCATGTTTGCCTTCGTCTGTTAAAGATTTATCTTCCAATGATTTCTTCAAAAATAATCTTCCATCTGTCTGTCACTTGGAACATATGATCCTGCTTGACTGAGCTGTATAACTAGCATTTATATAGCCTCAGTGGAGGCGAGGGGGATAGGAAAGTACTGAGTTTTCTGGGTTTTATTCGAACTTCCCAGTTGCAGAGAGAGGGAGTTGGCATTTCAGATATTTCTGCTGAAACAGTTGAGTGTATGAACCTCAAAACTGGTGGAGGTGGGCACCAAAACTTAGCTATTTCCTAGTATTAGTGGCTAATCCCAGAGTATGCCACCCCATCTTTACCATTAGCTAGCAGTTGGAGTGCCAAATGTCACGCTTATCAAGGACTGATAAAAGAAATGGATAGGATGTTGAAAACAGCTCTGGTTTGGCTACTGTAGAGTCTGTGTAGAAGCTCAAGTCACCCAAATGATAAGTGCTGACAGCTCTGCCACTGGTGCCTACTGAGAAAAAGCAAGAGAAGCACTCTCAAACTTGCGCTTTTGTCCTGTCTGTCTTCAGTCAACAGTACTAATTGCAGTGTTGGGAAATGATGTTTTGCCTCTCCCCTGGGGATGACAAGAACAACTCCTGTATTAACATGAAAGACAGCATCATTTTTTTACTTAATGCCAAGGATTCTGTGGATGCTGGATTAGCCCTTATTTCTGTTCTTGTCAGCATTCGATTGCTAATTAACATGATACACTTCTGACACTGAGATAACTTTCTTGTCAACCTAAAGGGCTTTATGAGACCCTTCAGTCCTACCATTTGTTTTAATAGTGACTCTTCAAGGGATTCCCCACCTCTTGCAGCAACTCAGCACCACCAAAAAGTCTCTACTATATATTGCCTTTGAAGAAGAACGTGCCTTAGTTTGGAGGGAAGAGGTGAGGACGTACTGGTTCAGCATAGCCCTTTACCCTCTTACTTTCAAAAGTATTGAATCCTGAGTAGTGGCAACAAGCCCCGGAACCTATTTCAACAAGCAAGTTTAGATTGCGCTTCATTTTTTATTCTGAACCTTACAATTGAGGGACATCAAGGAAGCTGGTACACATCACCTTTTGCGTACTGCTGGCTGGAAATGAAGGTTTTAGGATGGTCAGGTTTGCGAGTTTGAGAGTCTTTCAAAGTCTCTTAAAGCAAATCAAGTCTCCTCCAATTTGCACTTGGAGGAAATTGAAACTGCCAGTAATTGATTATAAATAATACGGTATGTAGAGTTAAAACCAGTTTGACTCATAGGAAGACCTTTTGATGCATTCTTTTTCTCCAACTATAAAGGAAACATCAGTATTCGTAGGAGCCACTAACTTTCTCTTCATCCATCTGGTTCAATCTTGCTTGATTCTTTCAGCAGAGAATAGAAATCTGAGCGGTCATGCTCTCACCCTGCAGGTTTGAAGTACCTAAATAATTTTGGTTGATTAAGTGTGTTCATTTCATGTTTGGTGATTGACCAGCTGCTCTAGTTATGAGACAAACTCACTTGATAGCTTCTGTCCTTTGCAGAATCCTATCCCATACATTCCAAGGAAGATTTAGTTACAGATTATTGCTGTTCTGTGTGTCAGTTTCTGACATCTCCTTTGTGTTTAGGAACACTCAGAAGCTATCTACGTTAAGGATTTCAGAACTATTCTTAGCCTCTTTTGAATTTTTTATGGCTATTTAGAAGTTGCAGATGTGCCTGTTTGGCTTAGTAGAGTGTCCACTTTTCTTGTGTTCCCCACCCATAATCTGTTCCAGCAACAAGAACGCAAGGGATGATACTGTCATCACTGGCATAGACTACAGGTGTCATTGCCAGCTCTTACTCCCTCATTGTCTCTTGTCAGCAGTCTTGAAAACATTCTCAAAGAATGCAAATATCCCATTCAGTTGCTTTCATCGGCTTCTCCGTCTCTCACTTTGGAAACATGTAAGCTCTCTTCCACTGGACTTGGCAAGGGGTCATTTGGGATTTTAGACACTTACCACAGGTTACTTGATCCAGTTTGCCTTTTTGTTTTCTAGAAGTCCTTCTCATCCCATTATGAGTATTTTTTGAAACCCAGGCTGTACAGGTCTGTCTTGAAGGAAATGACTCTTCATTAATCCTGGGAACCATGGAACTAACTTCCTTTTACCTGAGATGTGAAGGGTTTAAGGCAAACTAGACAGGTTACTGATATGGTATAAGATGACTCAACACCTTTATCCACACATTCTTATGTAAAAGGGTGAAGTTAGCGGTACACAGACACCGTTGCAAAAAATAAACTTCCTTCGTACTCTCTGCTACTACAATAGTGTTTTATCAGTGCATTGACTAGATAGTTGCTTACCTAGACAATTATATCTGTTCTTATACCTGAGACAGCTGACTCATAAAGGGACCATCAAGAGACTGTGTCCTCCAGTCTATTCATGTGCATGCATCAGAAAATGAATATACAAAAATGACTTCTCGTTGCAGTTCAGGGCATAGAAATCATTACCAGAGGCCAAAGACTTACTACCTTTTGACGAATGCAGGTCATGAGAACCTCATGTTACAGCTGGACTTTTAATTCTGTTACCACATTGAATTCCTGCTTGTTTATCCCAAGTCAAATGGCAGCATATACTCATTGTTTGGTTATGGTAAGTGTAAAGGCAGATACCTTTTAGCCTTCCTTTAAAAAACAAAGTATTCTCCACCTATGTGGAGAATTTAATTCAGCATCTATCCTTTCAGTAATACCCTTGCTCCTCCTCTTTCATCGAGGTCAGTTGTTATGAGTGCATCCCTTCTGCAGGCCTTTTGATTCACTTTCCCCAAGTATACTTACTGGCTGGTGGTAGAGGATACTAGGACAGTGTACTGTGTAACACATAGGGGTAGTCTGAGGCTGCAGTCTACCAGCCAGGAAGCAGTTGACCCAGGAACCTTGCACTGGCAGAAATCTATACTGAGCCTGAGAACTGACTTAATCCTTTCTTTTGGTGTTAATTCAGTGTTACAGACTCAGTGCCAGACTTGAGCTTGGTTCTTCAAATGCTTTTTGGACTGTTGTTTGAGACATAAGAGTCCTGCTTGGTATTACATCTTTTTGTAAAAATTGTATTGCAGTTGCTTCCAACAAGAAAACAGGGAAGTAGCTAAGCCAGGGTAAGGTGGATTTCCTCTGTGCATGACATTTTTAAGGTGAAGGTGTCCTTGTGGATCCATACAGAATTATTTCCCAAGGTGATTACAGGATTATTCTTAATCAGAAAATAAGTTTTCCTGTTGCTGCATTTTCCCCAGAAAACCTTATGTTGCTGATATCAGTGTAGTCCTTCCCACCCACTGTTTAAAAGGCTCTTTCAGCTCACATTGATAGGGCCTGACTTTTCATACAGGACCTAAGACTGGCTGTCCTAGTTTATGCCGAAACTATCACTTAACAATATGTGACAATAAGTAAGACCACAGCAGCCTTTGTCCATAGGCATGAAAAGACTTGCATGTCTTACAAATAATTTTAAAGTGAGACCAGCAGAGATGAAGGAAATACTAAGATCAGTTACACAAGCTTGTTTGTCCAGTATGTTTTTTTGGTGATCTTTCTTTCTGAAATGGGAGTGAGAGATATCACCTATAATCAGTTATTTCCTTGAGTTTTACCTCAGAGAAATGAAAGGTAAAAACTCTTCTGTCAAGAGGCAACTGTTGGCTTTCCTCACTTTTCACTTAATTTCTTCCTTACAACTTTTCTTTTTGGGAAGGATACGGCTTTGATACAGAGGTGATCCAAAATCTAGAACTTGGCCACTGAAGTTCAGTGGCTAAATTTCAGCAAGGGTAAGCATAGTACCCTGTACTGTGGGCATGGTTATAGCAAGAAAAAGCACTTTTCTCCCATTTACAGGATTTGAAGTTGAATTTTCTAAGAATGATGTGGCATATACGGATTATAAAAAGTTAGTTATAGTAGAAGCAGAAAAAATGTTTTGTCACTGGTGCAACTATACATTTATTTCATTCTTTTAACATACTGGATCAGGATATTTGCCAGGGGCAGCATGGTAAATTTTTGGACTGAGAATATGATGATCTGCCACATAGCTGGTCTGATACAAGTTGAAACTAAGTGATACACAGACAGAGAGGGAACCACTGACATACAGTGAGACAGGCTAGCATGGAAATCGAAGTTTTCAGGTTTTGCAGGCACATATACACGTCTCATAGCAAAGCAGTGTTTCAAACAGGGATTTTAATGCAGATAGAAGCTGCAATGTGAATTTTGCAGAAGAGCTCATTCAGTTGTAGGGAAAAGCATGAAAGTGCTTGTTTGCAAAGAACTTGATGAAAACAGCCAACATCATGGATAAACTGAGGCAGGCCAATTGAGAGAGATTAGCCAAGCCTTGGATGTAAAAAGAGCAGCATGTTATACTACAGAGAAAACGAAGTTTCAAAAAGAATTTGAGTAAAATAGGAAGATAGCAAGGGAGGTGAACAGGAGATAAACTTGTGAAATGAATCTAATTATCTCAAAGGTAGATTGAGATAGCCCAGAAGACACAGTTTAGAGATGTGATGGTTTTTCTTACGGGGAAAAAAGTGATTGTAGTCAGGAAACAGAGTTTGAACTAAAAAAAAAAAAATAAAAATACTTTTTTTTTGTCTTTATTTTCTTTTAGTAGAAACTAATAGAATGTTTTGCAGAGAGACACAAAAGGCAGGAGAAACTGATGAGCAACTTAAGA